TGTAATAGATTGAGCATGAACGTATGCGTGGCCAGCGGTTTCACAACCGCATGGCATATTAATGAGTTGTCTTGATCAGCGTTGAGATACGCCATGTTGTTTTATTATCAGTGAAATAAAGAAGTTAGATTGAGTTCTTCACACGCCTTATAACTGTTCTTTTATAATATTGTTTTGAAGCTTGTTATCGAGGGAGAAATGACAAATAGACCAGGATTACTGTCTATAGGGACTTTATACACTTCAGAGAGTACAAGTGAATGCATATTAAATCCACTATCAGCGAGAGAAGGTAAGTTAACTATCAAAAAGCGTTCAGTAAATTTAATATAATGCTTTAACATGCTTCACTTCCAAGGCAAGAATTGGACAGAGCTTTAAGGTAATGCCTGCATGGGTCGATTTGCTTATAATAACCGCTTAAATATTAGCAAAATGGTTTCGATCTTTTGTTTATTTTTCCTTCACTTTGACAGCCACTACGCAGGGGCAGATCCAGGGGAAGGGTGCAGGGGGTGCGCACCCCTCCCTGGTATTACCCTGTGCCCCTACTTCGAAGATAACCAATAATGTTTTTTCCCTTTGATTCTTATGGATGCACCCCTCCCTGGGTTAACTTTCTGCGCAACACCACTTCCGGAGCAAAATCCTGGATCCGCCCCTGCATTATGTCAGGATAAATATTTTAAACACCTTTTTTATCCCCTGCAATGTTTTATTCGTTAACACAGCTTGTAACGAGATTCTCACCGACAGAAAAGGCTACATTATGTCACCATTTTATCCTGATTCCTATGCAAATGATGAGAACTGTTCCTGGATAATCAAAGCCAGAAAAGGTCACGTTATTCGTTTGGAATTTAAAGTATTTGAATTGGAGTTGAGCCCACGGTGTTCAGCTGACTACGTAGAAGTGTATGATGAAGACGAAGCACAGTCGACATCTCGTATTGGTCGCTACTGTGGAAGGAGGTATCGTATTCGTATTTGCATATAAAATAGTAATATTTATATGTTTGTGTGTTTGAATGTTCGTATGTAGGATGGCTTGCAGTTGATTTTTTTTGTTGGAAAGGACATGCGCGCTGATTTACTGGCCACCGAGTGCGGAAACACGGTCGTGATCACCGCAAAAATTACGAAAAGCATATAGAAAGGTGGCTTCAGTTGTGTGTTTAYACTTTAGCATCAAGTTTACAGGAACTGCAGGTAGAGAACCCATTGCTTGTCAGCTTCTAAGCTTTTTCGTGACGTGCTCCGTTAAATACAATGTGACACGTTCAAATTCCCACCCTCGAATTTKGTATAAATATCCTGCAAAAAAAATTGGAATAATCAAGGTCGAGGCACGGCTTCAACATTTATATATTTAGAATGAAGAAAAACCAGAGAAACTGGAGAAATACCTCGATTCAAGGAAGAGACCAAACAATTTCTATGGACATTGCCGATTCCAGAGGATATGGAACTCGAGCGAGACCCCACACGTGAGAGACGATTGCTCTGCCACTAAGCAACTTTTAATGTCCAATGATTACATGACCTAAATGGTCAAGATTTATTTTAAGCATGATTATTCTGCTCTGATTACTTGCAGATATCCACAAATAATCCAGTCACAATCAAACATGTTAAAAATAGTATTTCAATCAAGCAAATCCGGTAAAGGTCAAGGATTCAAGATTTACTATCAGATGATAGAAGGTAAAAGTGCAACAGATATACGTAAGAGATCAAGAGAGAGGCTGTGAGAAGAAAAAACTTAAATTTAAAACAAAGATATATTTTGATATTATTGTTTTCTTTTCTCCAGGTGCAAAAGATGACAGCTGTATTCAAGGTATGTTGCAGCGCCTTAAATTGACCCTGCCTTCTGGTTATAGATCAAATTTTCTTGTTTGTAAAAAGATAAAAAAGAACAATGGATTTTTGACATATATTTTCCCCCTCAGACTGCCCCTCTTCGTGTAATTGCCGGAGACTAGAAGATGGCGGAATCATCATGGCTTCACATCAACTACAGTCTATTCCCAAGCGCCTGCCCAAGAAAACAAATGCTATGTAAGTATCAAGTCTTTACATATGCCTCTTGTACTCTCATGTCAAAACTTTTTTAAAAAAAGAATCAAATTAGAAAACCTTTGAAATTATAAGAAAATAAAATCAGACTGCGGTGCAGTGAAGTATGTCTAACTCCAAAAGTCGCACCGAATTCGTTTCATTTTCGTACAACTGTTTGCATTCTATCCATATATACATGTCAAGCGCACGCATCATTGGCTCCGTTATAATAAAGTATGATTTCATTCTTTATTTATAGATTATTTGGAGGGAATAAGATTTACCAAGTTAAAAGCCATGCATTTATAAAACAAAGTTATCTATCTTTGATGTGAGTATATGATTAAACAAGGGAGAGGCCAAGGGGTGGATCTAGGTTGCTGGCACCAACTTTGGTCATTTCGAAATGAAAATAAAGAATGCTATAAAATCTAGAGAGGAACTGGTATATGCAGCAAATTCGTCTTGTGGACACCCCGATATTACGGGAACCTCGCTATTACGGGATGTGCAAGATCCCCGGCGAAAAGTGTAATGACAAAGAAAAGACCGTAATTAACTTTCTTGCTTTTACGGACAGCCATTGACGGTCCCGAGGGTGTCCGCTTTAAATACAGTTAACTGTACCTGATTCTTGTTTAACAGCCAACCGCTTTGAAATCATCCTGGATCCGCCACTCTATGCACTATTTATTTATTTCTGTTCATTTAATYATTCATATCTGTTTTGCTTTTTTCTGTTTCAGCGACTTGAGCTATAATCGAATATTTTCGATCGAAGAAATGTCTTTTGTAAACCTACATTCGTTAAAGACCTTGTAAGTCAATACTAAATTTCTAGTTTTTTTCTAAAATGTAAAGGGGAACTAATGAACTCTAATCAAGTCAGATCCATTAGTTTCAAAAGGTCTTGATTTCTTGTATAGTAATAATTTTTTGAAAAAATAAGCCTTTTTCTTCTGAGCATCCTATTTTACTTGTAGACGGCTTAATAGGAATTTCATCAAAGAAGTGCAGAAAAACAGGTTCAGTGGTGTCGGGGGACTTGAAGTAATGTAAGTATAAAACTAGAAGTATTAATAGCATGTATATTGGCAAAAAGAGAACACTCCTTACATTGATGCTTTTTTAACAACATTCTCGTTACAGAGATTTTGGACAAAATTTAATTTCAAGCATTGAAATGGAAACCTTTTCTGGTTTTCCAGCCCTCCGTGCTTTGTAAGTATTCAGCTGGTTCAGAAGTTTTGACTGTAAACGGCAGAATCGCAACTGATTATCAGTAGTTAGCGAAGTTGGCAGCATGTACAATATGTTAATAATGTGGCTTGTTATGTTTAAGGAGCCTTCGCAGTAACAAAATAAAGGGACTGCATAAACTCACCTTCCAAAACAACACAAACTTAAGATATCTGTAAGTATAAGTGATTAAGTGAT